ACACACTAAAATCTTACTGGTAACATCATTAGTCAGTGGAATAGAAAAGGACAATTTTGTTATCTTACTAAAATTAGGATTTGATTTTTTAAAAAAATCTACATAAGACATTTGGCTTGTTTATAGTTAATACTTGGGTGCAAGTATTAGCCATATCCATGTAGTTGATAACTGATTTTTTCAGGAGATTTGTAGGACTTAAAAATTTTTTCATCTTAGGTACATATTTCTTTTATAAAATCCTTTCTCCCTCTTTAGGCACATCTTGCTTTCTGGCTTAAGTATTTTAGATGTCATTTAATGATTTCTTAGCAGAATCCCTTTTTACAATTTTGCTAATATTTACTAGTCACCATTGTTAGTGCAATTTGCCGCCTGCATGCCATTGAAATGAATTCTCTTTTGTTATGGGTGCACATGAACCCACTTATCAAAAGCAATTGTGTTTTTTCTTTTGCTTTCTTCCTTGGTAATAGTGTTCATTATAGTGAAAACTAGAATATTCTTGAGATATAATTTATATACCATGCAATTCACCCATGTAAATTATACAATTCAATGATTTTTAGTATATTCATAAAATTGTGTAACTTCACTATACTTAATTTAAGAATATTTTTATCACCTCCCAAAGAAACTTTGTACCTTTTATCAATTCCCAGTTCCTCTATCCTCCTCATCCCATCCCAACAGTAAACAACCAGTAATCAACTTTATTTCTGTAAAGAATTGCCTGTTCTGAACATAACATATAAATAGAATCTTGTGGGTATTTTGTGATTGGCTTCTTTCATGTAGCTTAATGTTTTAAAGGTTCATCAATGTTGTAGCATGTATCAGTATTTCATTCCTTTATATGGCTAACTAACATTTCATTGTATGGATATATGGCAAGGTGTTTTTTCTTTTTTTAACCTCTGCTCTTTGATGGTGTTATAATAGACAGTAACTGATGGTATGCATTATTAGGGTTTTTCCACTTTTTAGGGCATTTCCCTCTATTTTTCCATCTCTGGGAATAGGGTAGATTTTTGTCAAGACCATATTTTTTAATAGTTTAATTTGAACTTTTGGATAAGTTCGCTATACATGTTTAATATACTTTTTAGTTACATTAACATAGCTAATATGGCTCCTGGCAACCACCTTTCTCTGAATTTGACTATTCTTATGTCCTCATATACGTAGAATCAAAATATTTGTCCTTTTCTAACTGTCCTGTTTCACTTAGCTCAGTGTCCTCAAGGTTCATCTATGTGGTAACATGTGTCACAATTTCCTTCTTTTTAAAGCTGAATAATAATTCCACTGTATGTACATACCACATTTTGCTTATCCATTTATCTACTGATGGACCCTTTGGTTGCTTCTGCCTTTTGGTGTTCAACTATCTTGTTAAAACCCTACTTTCAAATTCTCTTGGGTATATAGCCACATGTGGAATTGCAGGACCATGTGGTAATTCTATTTTTAAATTTTGAGGGAACTGCCATACTGTTTTCCATAGTGACTGCACCATTTTCTATTCCTTAACAAACAGTGCACAAGGGTTTCAATTTCTCTACATTCTTGCAAACTCTTATTATAGTCTATTCTTTTTCTCTCTGTTATCAGGTTTCCCTAACGATGATTAGTGATGTTGCGAATCTGTTCATATGACTTTTGACCATTGGTATATCTTCTCTGGAGAAATATTCAAGTTCTTTGCCCATTTTTGAATTGGGTTGTTCATTTTGTTGTTGAATTGTAGATGTTCTTCATATATTCTCAATATTACACCTTTTCAAATATATGATGTGCAGATATTCTACAGGTTGCTTTTGTACTCTATTGATATTGTCTTTCAAATATGTATTTATTTATTTTTTGTTGATAGTGAATTTGATGCACAAATCTAACGTATTTTTTTCTTTCTTGCCAATGCCTTGGTGTCATACCCAAGAAATCATTAACTCAATGCTTTGAAGTTATATTTTCTTCTTAGAGTTGTATAGTTTTAGCTTTTTAGGTCCTTAATCCACAGTTTAGGACTTTGATCAAGAAAGACTGCAGAGTTGTGGAATGAAACTTTTTCTTCTTGCTAGCTGGCTTGCTTGCTGGCACTTTGGTTATTGGTTAAAGTCCTAGTATTAAAAATGGTGTTTAATTTACAGTACCTTCAGCTTACTTAGCAGTTTCTTCTTTGCTTCTCATTTCATTTTATAGTAGAGGCTTTAAAATGTCATTTTGTTTACACTAGGTGGTTTTATTTTATTTATTTATTTACTTAAAAACAGTTGACAGCATTTGGAAGATTAATACAAAGCATAGATCCATTGACATCTATTTTTTACATAAAGAGGTGAATTATTTCTTTTGTTATTGTTTTGTTTTTAATCCTCACCCAAGGATATTTTTCCATTGATTTTTAGAGAGTGGAAGAGAGAGGGAAAGACAGAGAGAAACATCTATGTGAGAGAAGCACATTGATTGGTTGCCTCCTGCATGAACCCCACCAGGGCCCTGGATGGGGAGGAGCCTGCAACTGAGGTATGTGCCCCTGACCGGAATCGAACTCGGGACCCTTTGGTCCATAGGCCGATGCTATTCACTGAGCCAAACCGGCTAGGGCTGCACTAGATGGTTTTAAAAGACCCAGAATATTTTTTAATATAGCCTGCCCATATTAAGCTGCTACATATCACAAATAGTATACAAGCAGATAAAATGTTTTCTATCCTTTGAAATCAGTAACTTTGTAGGTAGTTGTGTCAGTAGAGACCAGCAGATTGGGTGCACCAGAGGGAATGATGGTGCTGTTAGGAACAGTGACAATATTGAGTAGGTGCATATAGGATGAAGTTGGTCAAATTGTAGTTGTGTAGGACATAAGTATTATTTTACACTATAATTTTTTTAAAGGATTTGGACGTGGCAGAGGGAGAGGGGCAGGAAGATTCTCAACCCAAGGCATGGGGTAAGTGTAGCCATCCTATTTTTGTAGTTCTCTAGTTGTTATTTTAAGGGTTTTCTTTCTCTGTGCCCAGTTTATTCTGGTAAGTCAGGTGTTTTTTATACTTAAGAGAAAGTAGTAAAAAAGTAAAATAGTACAAATAAAATTGTATTGCATTGGACCTTAGAGCAGAGTTTCTAGCCTTGACTCTGTTGACATTTTGGATTGGATAATAGTTTGTTGAGGTGGTTGGGTGTCTTTTACAATGTAGGATGTTTAGCAACATCCCTGGCCTTTACCTACTAGATGCCTGTAGCACTCCTTCTCAAGTTATGATATTCAAAAATGTCTCCAGACATTGCCACATGCTCCCTGGGAGGGAGGTGCACAATCACCCCTAGCTGTAAACCACTGCATAATGGTTATGTTGGTAAAGCCAGCAATTGTCTTTGAATGGTAAGTAAATGCTATGTTTATTTATGCAAAAGTAATAGTTTTTTCCTGAATTGTAATGGTGACCATACTGTTATTAAATAAATGGTATAATCAATACTTTTTTTCATTATTTCTTATTGTTCTTTTACTTTTTCCTGCTTCTAAAACTTTAGCTCCCCCTGGATTTTTAGAAAAATATAAAATAAAAAGAAAGAAAAACAGTTTTATAGCATTTACAGAATCCAGATGCAGATTACAATCAAGAAAGGAAGGGAATTGGTTCCAGGAAAAGCCCTTTTTCTCTCCATAGCTTCAGGGCAGCACTGTTTGGGGTCACTTCCTTCAGGTGGTACCTCTTGTCATCTTTTTTCTTCCTCAGCTCCCTGTAGA